CCCAGGGAAGTGTCAAAAATCTTCACCAGGAAACAATGAAGTACAAGTAATATCAAGTTTGAGATATCAATATGYTTGGGGTATCTGTATGCCCTTCCACTCTCAAAGGGTAAGAATGGCAATAAAAGAGCACAGAAAACACCATCAATCACAGTCTGCACATCCAAACACAGAGCCAGATCTTATGCTGGTGAAGAGTACTCGACAGAGGTAGAGCAAGGCATTAAGCACWGCACAGCAATTAAATTTGAGAGCTGAGACCAAGAGCAAGGCCCAGAATCACACCATCAATAAAGGACCCCTGGGTTTCCACTCATTTTCTGGTTTTGAATTTCCAGTGCTCAGGTCCCAGTAAGTGAACAATTAGAGTCTGAAATCTAGAAAGACCCAGATATCCACTGTGCCCCTTTCCCCACACCTGGACCTTCCCCATGGTTTCAGAAGACTCTGCATTGCTCACCTTTTCCTTAGAGGGGTCAGCACAGTCCAGCTCGCTCCCTGTCCAGTTACCCCTTTATTTCAGGGATCCAAGCTGCTAATATCCTCACAGCTCTTCAGCTGATGTGCTCAGATCCAAACATGTCTCATACCCAGAAGCTGTGGACACAAGTCTGTTGTGAAGCACCAGGCTTCAGAGAACCTTGAGGGAGCACAGTTCCATAAAGCTCCAGGAGCTGCATTCCAGCAGGGTTCCAGAACACCCTACATGCAATGCACGTTCTTCACCTCCTGCCACCAGCTCCTTCACCACCCCTGAGCAGTCCCATGCCATCTGCCACAGAGCAGATGAATGTTCCTGGTCAGCCTCCTCTGGCCTTCCCTGAGGCTACATGGAAGCCAGGGTTTGATTAGCAGTAATATAAATATATACAGCATTGTCAACTTCAGTTCTTTTCCTGATCCGCCTCAAGGTAACATGCATAATTATTCTCACATTTTTTCAAGGGAAGCAGGGCTGGTGTGAGAAGGCTGGTTTGGCTCTGCTCCCTGCCACACACAAGGCACAGCTGTGGGACAGCAGCTGCCACCACCTGTGGCACAAGAGCCACAGGCACGTCCAGACTCAATTACCAACACCTGACACAAACATTTAGGTAATCCTAATGTAAAAACCCAGTTAAAGAAACAGAAATTTTTGGAATACACAAGAAAGTGAAGTCAGAACTRATCAGAAAAATACACTGACCCATATATAGACACACACACATACATCTCCAACCTATAGCCATAATAAGCTAAGAAACGAATGAACTAAAACTAATGAAGCTCAAATATCATGAGCCAACATTCCAAAAGTAAGGAGACTGCAATTCTCATCATAGTATCTGATCTTTCTTTATCAACCTTAACAACGTAGGAGTGATCTTCCTTGAAACCCACAGGAGGATGCAGAATAATCATTCAGGCACACCTCTCTATTTAATTAATGAAGGCAGAGACAGCACCTCTAATCACTCAGTGCTGCTCACAACAGCCACTTCCACTCATGCTCAATCACAACTCTATTATTGCTTCTGACACCCCAGGGAAGGGAATGYTCTCTTTGTGACTGAGTAAAAGCAGAACTCAAGAAACATGGAGTTAGTGTTGCTGCACTCCAATGATTTCAGTAACTTTTCATTGTAAAGGATGAAGASATAAGACAAGAGTTTGTCATTAGGAAAATCAAGTGCTTATTGCTACAATAAAATGATTGCTCCCATGGATCCATTATATCCCATTATTACATTATTATCCACACCAGAGTATGATTCTGCCATTGATCAGCTATCCAAACCCACAGCAGTATCCTGTTACTGTATGTCCTAAAATGCAAATATATCCCCTMACAATGTATATCTACAARTAAACTTCAGAAAGGATAACAATAGTAYACAAACWATTCCAAAGAATATTTGAAACTATTTCCAAGAAAAACTATTGYCTTTCAGAAGAATTATAAATGTATTTGCAATTTACTGTGTGTCTGAATTACTCTGTGGACAGAAAAACTTACCAGTTCTTATGGAGAGCATTTTGCTTCACTTTCTATTGTACCATTGTGATAAGGCCTCTGTGAAAAACAGCCACTGACACAAAAAGCAAGTATATTCTGAAAAGATGTTCCTCCCAGCTTGTATTAAAAACGCTTTAAAAAAATTTAACTATTTATCACTGACTCCAACAAGCTCTTAATTGCATCTGATGTCCTTGAGGCTTATTAGACACTTTAAATAATTGAGGAAAATGTAAAAAAAATGTAGGAACCACAAAAGTTGTACTCCTTATACTGTTTCAAATGTTTGGGCTAAATCCTAAGTGCAGTTCAAGCACTGAGGCCTCGTTTCAAAGAACAGACAATCAGAGCCTACACAGAGCTCAGGCACCCAAGCCCCCGGTAATGCCCCTGGTGAAGCTGAACACCCAGCGGGTAGGGCACATCCACCAGCAGAACGAGAGCCAGAGAAACACTGGACGTCAAAGCGGCTGCCAGGGAAGGATCTGTGAAGGTGCCATACACTAGGGGAGGTGCCTCTGAGGCAATGCAGCTCTCACTGGCAGCACTCACATAGGAAGAAGCCTTAAGCAAAGTGATCAAGCCAATGTGCCAGCAAGAAATAAGACACACACGCCCAGGAAAATAAACCCTTGTGAGACTGCCACAGCTTGTGAGAGGGACTGCAGAGGGGTGACAGGACAACACATAGGCTGTGCTTGGGAACCACACATCAGGAGCAGAAGTGTKCCCTGTGGGCACTGTGGGCAAGGAAAAGCTTCCACTGGCCTGTGCARGSTGKGGCACAGAGGCTCCAGGCCTCCCTYAGAGCACAGGGTACAAACCAGGAGGGTACACAGACAACCTCCCAGGAWGTATTCCATAGGARAGCACTTGCCTGGRCCATACAACAGTGTTCCCAYGGAGAGGAAGGGAATCACAGTCCTSAAATTGTACYATGGTAACAAATGGCTGTCATCCATTTTTACAGCTCATTCAATTCCCAGTCCTGGATTATTGAAACTATTAATAGAARAGCCAAAAAGAGACTGATAAATCAGCACTGTTTCCTGGATCTATCATSTCTTCTTCAGTGAATTAGAGCTGGGAAATCAAGTAATTGACACCTGATCATCTTCTCACTGAAAAACTTATTTAATGCAGTGTCAGTAATAGSAATCAACTATTCTCAGTGAGAGCATTTTTGTATAAACTGATACAGTGCTCTAAAAGAAACTAAAAACTTTTCATTCACTCCTGTTGTGTAACCTCACATCTTCAAATCTTTTGTATTTTTTCCTTTCTGCTTCCTTGTCTTTGCCACCTTGTGCAGTTACTGTGTTCTGCAGCAAATGGTATGATACTTTCCCTTACTGTCATATTTCAATAGCTGTTTTCTGACTTTCTCAAGTGAGTAGGGTGGGTTATGTATTATTCTTTTCCTCCTCTTGTACATTATGTGTCCCTAAAACCATGATTTTTTTCTGAAATAGAAAAGAACACCACAACTTTGTTTCAAAAGTCTAAAAATTTCAGACTATTTCACTCACAATCTTGTCATTTCATGGCAGACATACACAGAGAAGTGTTCTGGAGACACACCCACAGCAACCTTTTGGACTAATATGGGATGCTGTTCACATGCTCTGGCTACTATAGGACAGAATCTCAGAATCACTTAGGTTGCAAAAGGCTTTCAAGACCCTTTCAAGTAGATGCCCTCCCCTATAAACTTCATCCACTTAACAGCAAATCCTGACCCACCCTAGAACAGATAATGCCAGAGAAATCTGCTACAACAACTATCAAAAACTCAACATTCTGAGCTAACCAGAGCTGAAAAAATCTCCCTATCTAACTCCTGTGTAAAGCACTACCAGAGAGGTTCAACAATTAATGCTGCATTTACAGCATTTTGAATAAAAATATGATTGCACTTTTCTTAGGTATAGGGACCGARAGGGAAACTGGAATTGAACAAAGCATCTGTAAATTCCACCTGCTCCCCAATAAATAAAGAGAAATATCAGAAAGTATAATATCTGTGAGATGAAAGAACCATCTGATCTGCACAGATTATCTTAGTCCCTATATGACCTAACCATAATGACAATAGAATAAGACAAAGCAAACAGTCTCTCATCAGAGCAGCTTTAGACTGTGTTAAATGCTATGACTTACAGAACAGAAAGGAATTTCATCTTTCCAAAAAAGGAACAAATATCTCTATCATACAATTGTTTTCTCAATGAGCTTGGTGAATCATCCTGAGGTATCTTTAGAAAAGAACATACAGAACATTATGCCTACAGAATGTTTATAGATGGAAAGGATGAGATTAACATTGTGTACCTACATTAACAGTATTGAGTCTCCCGTTTCAACCTTACCTCCCATAAGTAACAAGTGTCAAATCCATTTTTCAAACCTAAATGAAATATCACTTTTAGAACACAATCTATATTCCTTTTCAAACAATTCCCAGCTGAATTAACCTACAAATGTATCAAACAATGAGATTTCTGGACTTACCCAACACTCCTGTCTTCCCAATATAACAATTTAGTCATTCTTACACTTGTAAATTGGTGCTCTCCTCCTCTCGTGGTGTGAACACCCTGCCTGAAAACAACACTAACAGACTACTTACCTTTTAAGAAATAATTACTTAAAYCATTGCATTCTACAGGAACAGAGATTATATTTTCAAACTCTGGTCTAGGAAGTGGCATTATGAAGAAGTTCTTGTTGCTGGCATATGAAGGATTAGGTCTGTTCTGAACCAGTGACAGTTCACAATAAGCAGAAAATAACCTAAACATACACATTTCATCTGTGGTATGGCACTTTCCACAGACTTTGTACACATAATATAATACAATTCCTACTCATTCTGGGGATCTGTATTTAGGTTTCGCTTAGATTTCTGTAAACCATCCCTCTCAAGCTTTTGAAGAGCACGGTGAGAAATGCAGGTTAAACTGTGATTGCCCCTAATTCTAGGTTCAGTTGGGTGGTGACTCACGTTGCGCAGGTACTCGGCCAGCAGCTCCTGCAGGGCCTGGCGGATGGCGGTGCACTCGGCGATGATGCGCTCGCGGTGCGCGTCCCGTGTGCAGGACGAGTCTGCCAGCAGGGCTGCCCCACTGATGATGGCTTCCAGCCGCTTCTCCAGGGATGGCCTCAGCTTCTCTTCATTCACTACAACAGGGTCCTGCACAATTAAATTCTGGAAAAAATGAGCAGCACAGGTAAGGAAAGTCAGTCCAATTAAGTTGCTGCTTTATTTTTCACTTATAGGAACTACAGTGAGATTTAAGCTTCCAAGATGTGCTCCTAGTCCTTTCCACTGGAAGCACCCAAAATACTTTTGATGATGGCAGATTCCATTCTCCCTAGYGGGGCTATGCATAAAGGTCATTTGCAGACAAACCCAGGGGCTCTCTGCCAATGAGATCTCATTAGTTCTAAGCCCATTATCTATGCAATCAAGCCCTCAGACCAGAGTCTCAGCTTTGTTTGAAAGAGGGGTTCAATGCCTCCAAACTTCATTTTTTCAGAGATCAGGAGAACCTCTGGATTCAACTCAGAGCCAGCAGCGCCATCTCACAGCTGAGAAAGTGTAATTAGACTACATGAGTGCTCTAATTCTGCTGATTTTTAGTCTAATGCAATCCCATAGTGTGGCAGAAAGCCACTGCTGCCACTTCTAACACTTCCAGCTTTTATTTTTGCCAAATATGGGCAAWGATAAAAATTGCACCTTTTGTTTAGCAATTGTTTTCAAAGTACCTAGATATAAGTTTTCTTTTGCTTTTCAATAGGAGGGTAAACAAAAACAGTTAACTATTTTGGCTTGAAAAAATTAAATACATAGGTGTGGCAAGCAAATATTCTACAGAGAAAGGAAAGGAGGATATGGTATTTTCATGAAATGTTAAAGAAAGTATATTTGAACCTCAGCCTTTAAAGAAATTCAAACCAGTAATTTTTAATGTAACTGAACATCTGAAACGCATCATTATGGTCCTGATCACTAAACCTATACTCCACATAAACCTGTTCACCTGCTACTTCCCACCCAGAGGTGGTTTCAAGCTTTCAGAAGAAATGCTGAACAAAAAACCTATGCCAGATACCCTGAAGTGGAATTTAGGTCAGGTAAATCAGAACTTATCTATACTTACTCAGTATGTGCTGGACTAATTYCAAGCTGGAGAATTTTAATTATTTTTTTCAATTTAGATTTAATAAGACAATTTCAGGGACTGTCTAGCTTAGATTAGAAATGGAAGTGTTATATTAGAGCACCATAAAATTAAAGCTTAAACAGCTAGGCRAAGGGACTTCAGTAACAAGTTTATTTGTTTCAGAGATTTGAAACTCTGCATCCCTCGTTCCCGTTACTGCCCTTGATACCTTGTTCTGGGGTACAGCTGCTCAAGTTGTGCCACTTGGTCACTGGAGCAAAAACTTCCCTGTCAATCCCTGTGTCTCAGGTAAGCCCCCTCAATGCCAAGCTGCACAAGTTTCCATCGTAATGTCAAACACACCTGGCAAGTAGAATACTGAAATGTTGCTACAGAAAAAAAACAACTTCATTGACTGGGGAAGGCTAAGACACACTTGGAGGCTACAGTCAATCAGCCGTTTAGCTGGAAAAAGACTGCTTTCAAATCTCAGCTGAACCAAAGAAGAAATGTCTTCCTTTGGGAGACCGTTTGGAGAAGTTCATGCTGAGATGGACAAATAGCACTAGCCAAAAAGCTACTATGGTTCATCTCTGAATAAAAAAATCTAAGGCAATAAGAACCAGGAAAATATGAGTTAAGACTCTCCCCCGCTGATTAAATTCTTCAAATAATTGCATCAATTATTTGGCATCAGTACATCTAGGCAGAARAAGTTCAATGAGAAGACACCAGATACACAAGTGTTCTCTGGTGGTTTTGATTTAACAGGCTAAAGAGTGGGCAGCTACTCTTAAGTAGCTTAAGGACTYAAGCATAAGGCAGCAATTAAGAGGAGTGATTAGATCCTTGTTGTCTCCCTAAGTGGTCTCCTGATCCATGAAAAAAAGAGGGRCCCTGGGTATGCAGCAGGTTATTTATAAGCTGGTTATATTTGCTGAAGTCCTGACAGCCTTTTGACATCACACAAGTAATTGCTCAGCTGGATGGCCACGGTCACTCAAGGACCACAGAGCAGAAGCACACAGTGACACAGTCGGGCATGAAAGATGTGGATCATTTTGTGAGACGTCTCTTTACATTCAGAAGATGAAAGACCACTGAAAGGCATTAGATAACCTGCACMCCATGCTCTTTTCACACATCTTAATATGCAATTAAATTTTAAAGTTCCAATTTTGTGTTTATTTACAAATGACACAGTAGTTATAGGGAACCTTTAAGAGGAATTGCTGAGAATCTACWGATTTAAGAGTTTGCTGCTTTAATTTTACTGGTGGTTTCCTCACACATAAATCTTTAATAACTTTCACAGTGCCAGCACTGGCAAAGGAAGAATGATATTGCAAAACATCTAGATACTAGATTGCTGGGAAAGCTCCGAGATACATTTCCACACTATAAACATTTAATGAGATTTGTTCCCACCAGACTATTTACTACATCAATCTATTTCATGGCAGTGTATTTGCAACAAGAAGATAGTGCAAAGGTTATTTCAGGTCCTTAGCCCATAGAACTTTCCGTAAAGCGAGCAAAGCRCAATCATCTAATTCATAAAATCGTTTCAGAAGTTAAATGCTCTGTAAATTGTGCTTTATCTAACTCACACAGCTTCAATTCCCATTTGTGCTACCTAGGTAAAAACATATTTACAACTTGATAAACAAATGTTTTTTTACAACAGTCAGACTTCTATGTTATGTTTCCAAGTAAAAACAAATTCAATCCAAAACACATTTTTTTCCATTTTGTGATTATCACCAATTGCAAGTTTTAGAAACAACAATGTCATTACATTTTTATAATCACTTACCTCTCTGTAGTCAAAAAATGCAACCCTTTCAACAATTTTATTTTCTCTTAATTGAAAATAATCTAGGTAAATAACAGGTCTCATATAAGGTATATCATTTGTCATTCACATTTACACTGTAAATCCTAAATGTTTGCTTTTTCTTCCATTTATTAGAAAAATAAATTAGAAACTCTAATTTTAAAACCCCTCATGAGAAGCAAGGATGTGTGACATACAACGTGCAATTGTAGCCTGTTCCTCTGGGGGRCAAAAACCTGTCTGAATCGACTTTGAGCATGATTGAGTAGTCTGTTTTGATCAATAAACTGCCACTACAAAATTTATGTCATGTTTCAACATATTTCTTTAATCTTCCTTTGAAAATTTTAGCTAAAAATCTATTACCATTAGTCATAACACCAATTCTCCTGAAAACATATCATGATCTCACTGGGATGCTGAGATCTGCTAAGTCCAAGCATTTCTAATCAAAACCATCCATATTTGTAAATGTGTGTAGAAACATTCATTCCTTTTGTTGATCTGGGCCTACATCAGCTACATCACATGAGGATCGTGGTCTGTAACCTCACCTACAGGAAATGTTTTATCATTTTTTGGCAGGACAATGGAAAATGACACCGGTAAGAGCCACAGTAGCCATGAGGAAAAGGGAAGACTCCATAGAAAAGCTTAGGATGAGATCAGAAACAAAGCAAGTGCTGCCTCCCTCCATTTGCTTCATTCATGGAAGCAAAAAATGCAGAAGTGGTGAAAGCATATTGGCCATGTCACATTATTTAATGATAAGCAGCAAATGTCATGAGGTTTTGGAATTGCTCGATCATATAAGTTGCAGAATGATCCCAGTGACACACACTGGAGAGAAGGACCCCAGCTTGCATGGCAGCAGCTCAAATGCAGCCCAGTGCAGTGAGCACTATTAGCTGAGAATCAATGATAAGCAAACTGAACTCATGGGTTCTGCCCTCTTCCTGCAGAACGTGTCTGTCTCCAGCATCAGGGACACAACTGGAACGAGCTCCGCCCTGCTGTTCGAAATGAGCCAAATACTGAACACAAATCAGGGCTCAAAACCAAACAAAGTGATCCCTCTCAATAAAATAATTTCAAGTGATACTATTTAGACCAGGGCTAAGCAGAGCAACATTCTCTAATGCCTTTAGGCTCATAATTCACGATACCAATAGTTATTAAAAAATATTTTTTTCAAGAACATTGTCATCTCAAAGATTTACATACCTCAAGCTCATCAAGTGCACTTCCAAGAGTAGCTGTACGARATGTAGGTTGTTCCATTTTATTTCCAACTCCTTGGGAGGCGTTAGAAATTACATTGAGAGCATTCTGTATTTCATTGCAAATTGAATCCTTGCTGGCTGTAAGGGATGCAACGTCTGAATGTTCCAAACAAGCTGAACATATTGAATGTAGGAAAGCAGAATTTTCCTTCAGGGATGCACGTGCTGCAGCAATTTCATCTCGCTGATTGCTAGATTTCAAATCCTGTCAGCAAAAGAACACGTTGTTTATTTCCAAAAGTACTCCAAAAMTGACAAGTAATGTATAAACACTTTTCCTTTTCTATCTCTACTCTGCTTAAGGAAACATCAAGTTAAATTCATCAAAGTTTGTGAAAATGGACTGTAATGATACTTACAATTGAATCATCATCTCAAGAGAAATGAACAAAGTATTTGCAAAACAACCACAATTTTTATCGTGCCTTGTAACCAGCAYCATGAACTGTCCATGTTTTGTTTGKTTTTAAGCAGTTTTCCTCTGAGAAAACTGCCATGGCAATCAGCTGTCTTTCCTCCTAGCCATGTCTTTCCTCATAAGCAATGCAAAGGACAGAGGTGCACAGAATTAAACAAGGCATTCTGTAATTGTTGCATCGGAACAAATCTCCTGCATCGGCCTCCCTGCCCCACCAGCCTCAGTCTGGAGCACACTGCAGGAATGAACAGCAGGTCAGGGATGGGATCCTGCACTCCAGGGAAAYGGGAAGAATGGAGGTTGTGGAGATGAAACACGTGCTTGAGGGAAGGCATCTCGAGGTGCCATTGCCCTTGTCCCATCTGTCCCTGGTGTGTACACACAAAGCCCTCAGCCATCTTACCACACATTTTGTTCCTCCCATCTCCACCCAGACCTCCTTGAGACCCTACAGCCTCCCACCAAGAGAAACCAGGGACACCCAGCTTGACAGAACCACCAAGTCCCATCTGTTTCTGGATTAGGACAGCTGAAAGTTATGGACTTTGCAACAACCCTGCAGGCTGTAAGGAGCCTCCTGTCACATCCCATTTCATTTTACACATTCTCTCATGCTTCCCCTGTATCTTGTCCCTTTGAAAAGAAAACTAATAGATATTTGTGAAATGACTTGGATGAAGGAGAAAGTTAAATTCAGGGGGAAAATAAAAAAGGAAGGGAAAATAGCACATCTGAGCCTGTGGCACCAGATTCAAATGATGAGAAGAGGCACAATGAAGAATGAACAAGTAAATGCATACAAAACTTCTCACAGACCGCCCGTGGGCAATCTGAAGTCTAATTATTTTCCTTTGCATTGCATCAGGTTCTATATGCATTATTTACAAAAGCATCACAGTATCCGCTTCTCACTGCATAAAGTTTTGAAGTTTATGGGTGAAGAAAAGAGCATTTGATATTAAATGAACCAGTCCTGTATTTTTAAAATCTCATTTACTCTAAGATATGCATTGGACATAGGATTGCATCTTACTTCCTCAGGCTAACTTAGAAATCTGAGGAATATAGTAGCAAAAAACCAAACGCAAACAAAACCAAACAAGAGGAAGAGGCGTAGTCTCAAGCAGGAATAGACAAGAGTTTAACCAGTTGACCATTTGAATCAGAAAACTGTGGTTTTTTGAGTGTATTAACACATAACATATTTTTAARTGTTTAATAAAATTAATCACCACTGTGCAAGAACTATTTCATTGCCCAGTGTGTTCAAATCCAAGTACTAYTGCATCTCCAACCTCAGTAAAGCATCTGCAATTTGTCCAGTGCACTGGACTTTTACAGAAAAGGAGTGGTTTTGAAACACAGGCTCTTGCTCTAATTAGTGAATCTATCTCTCCTGCAATTATTACAAGACAGCAGACTGCCCTCTTTCCTCCTGTGCAACAAGGCCACGGACCTAGAGATACAATGGGAAGTCAGTACAGCACTTCAGCCTAACTGGCTTCTATTATTAACCATTTTTTACTTTGCTTCATCATATGTAAACAAACCCAAAARCCCTTAAAAATTACTTTTTCTCACTCAAACAATACTGTCTAACCAAGACTGAGGGGTTCATAAGAAATCAAAAACTGGTAAACCAGCAGCATAAAGCCAGTACCAGCAGTCAGTAACTCAACACCTGGAAACAGTCCAAAAGGTTCGGTAAGTTAACATTTTTGTTTCACACAACACTGTAGAGTGATTCAGAGTCGTGGCATTGATAAATTCTCCTATAAAGAGCCCCAGTTTTGTTCACTARCATGTTAAAATGAAAAAAGCTCAGACCCATGAAATTCATCACTGTTGYCTAGCCGTGAGCTTGGAGAGCCCCAAAAGAAGCCATAGAACCATTATTACTTTCCAGCTTGAGGAAGAATTTAGTCCTTGAGATTTTTCATGCGAAAAGGAAGAAACAGCTCATAATCATAGTCTGATCTTCTGCATAAATTAACCAAAAACAATCCTAAAATTGAGTGATTTTGCTATCAAATCTTTGCAGTTGGATTATCAGAACAATGAAACAATTCTTTGAAGGAGGAGGTTCATCTCCTTTACTGCACTTTATGTTCTTTTGTTTTTCCCTCATGGTTTACCACTTTCCTCTTATTCCAATTTCTTTTTAGACTAGTGGRCTACATCCACTGGTCTGGCATGTGTTTTTCTAAATCACTACTAAATCAGGTATTTCATAGGAGACCAGCTGAGATGAAAAATATTCCCATCTCCAACCACTGCCRATCTAGGAGGCCCAGCACAGTAACAYTTCCCCAGGCTGCTGTCCCAGCCCTATCAGGCCTTACTTCTGTGTCTTCCTCTTTGTCCATGATGAGAATGGAAAATGAATAGATAATCACAGATTCCCAGCTGTGGCTTGTTCCAGCTAACCATGGTGAATGGACAAGAAGACTTTCAAGAATTTGAAAACTACCACCATTGTAAAGCTTTGATTGCACTACTTCAATAAGAAAGAAGAAAACGAGGGTAAAAAAAAAGTCCTGTTCGTTATCCCACATAATACATCAGAGCTTTGACAGCTCAACACACCAGGAAGCAGCTCCTGTTCACTGAGCATTCCCAATCAGCACAGCCCATGGGAGTTGGGATCACTGTGGGTACAAAATCACGCTGCTGTATTTTGCACCAGCTGCAGCTTCAAAGCGCACTGCAGTCCCCAACCTGCTCTCTGCAGAGACAGATGTTATTGAACCAAGTTCTGTATCCAAGAAAAACACAACGTACAAACCCCCACAATTTCATACTGCTATAGAAATAGGGGACAAAAGCATTAGTTTTTATCACAGAGTAAACCTGGGCTTTAGCATTCAGCTTTCAGTCAGAAGTGACTGCCAAATTGTGCGTAGCTGGTGATTCAAAGACCATAATAAAGCTCAAACTCTTCCAAGTGTATTCGTGCATTGTTCATCTGGGCAAGGCTCCAGATGACATATTTCCTAAGTATTGTGTCCTTTTCAGCRGAATAAAGTATCTCCCAGACAAAAGCAAGTGAAAAAGATGTGGGGGTGATAGTGACAGCGAGATGTCCCTGAGCTGTGTCAGCTGTGCCAAGACAATGCTGGTTACCCGGGTTTAAGTGCCTGCAGCCCTCGGGGCTCTGCCCAACTTCAGCCACGCTCACCACGCTCAGCCTGGGCCCGACAGCCCCAGTTTCACACCCCCTGGGGCCTTCAGCCCCATCATCCCATAGGGATGCTGCAGGGATGCTGCTCTCCAGCTCAGCCACAGCTGCCCCTGCCACTCCAACCTCCTGAGCTGCATCCAGTCCAGCTACCACAGCACTCCTGAGACACCACAGGTAAGGGCTGTCCCTTAGCCAGTCACCCTCCCCTGATCCACACACTGAGCTCACAGCTTGTGCTCCCGGCTGCTTCATCACCACAAACTTTCCCAAGGCTCTGGACTCCTGCCTTCCAGAGCTGGCAGACCCAGCTCCTGCTGATATCTGGGTGAAGCCCTGCCTCAGGGAGCAGCTGGCCCCCCCTGCACCCCACAGCACCTTTCTCAGAACAGATAAGCATTTACTGTCAGCAGAGATCACCTGTTATCAACTTCATAATAAAGCTGACCCCGTCTGCTCTACAAAATACTAAATTTGCCAAGTTACAAACAGCATGACCTGGTGGCTCTTTTCCTCCACATAAGGTTTTTAACTACATTTGGACCAATGATGTACACAAGTGATTGTAACCACACAACAAACAGATACAAATAAACATTGGGAAAAGCCCTTGGCAGGATAAGCCAGGCTTTGTCAGCACAAATGAAGCACCAGCAGATGAAAAAGCTGTGCTGCACTGACCACCAAAGGTTCCCTTATATGCATATAAGTTAAACACCACTGAGTCTATGCTTACCAAGCATGATTACAGGATGTGCTTGACTCTGAGGAATTCCAAGCTAACTTTCAACTAAAGAAGCCTTATCTGTAGACTCACTTTTTCTGACTTGAGGAATCATTAGCAGTTCTTAGTATCTCATGGTGTCACTTAAACTCATACACAAAAYACAGACTCTGTATAGCCACAACTGCAGGCAGGGTTTGCATCATATGCACAAATAGACAAAATATCAAGTGCTATACTACAAATACATGTCAATGCTATGATAAGCCTAAACCTTAAATAATACCCTCTCTCTCTAAGATGACTCAGCAGTCTTTATAAAATTGTATCCTTCTRGCTACTGAGAGCAAGCAGGAAATGGATTACAGGACCGAGGTTGCCAGTAGAACTTGCTCTCTGTATCTATACCTATTTACTGTTTATCAAACAGGTGTGATATATATCATCACAGAAAAGCAGTTATCTTATACAAACCACGACACCTTAATACCCCTGCTCTTGCAATTTACTAATGTTTTCCAGGAATTTGCTGTTCAGACAGGGAAAGATGCAGTTTCTTTTTGATGATTTTGGTTGCATCAGATTTGAACTGCTGCACAATAATCTGTCTCCCCCAAGCTTTGGCAATTTCTAGCCTAATTATTGCTAACAGAGCAATGCTTGCTGTCAGTTCTCTATCTGCTGTTTCAGGATCTGGTCCCTGGCCTCCAATACCCTGCTGTTAACTTCCAGTCTCCCAGATGAAGCAGCTGATGTGGAAAGGTAGCAAAGCAATTTTTTCCCTTAAGAATTAATATAATAGCTCATGAAGGTTTTCACCTAGTACAGCTACAGTCACATTTGTCACSAGTGAGCTTGCCTAGAACTAAAGCAGGAACCATCCAT